ACATCATTTTTGCAACACTATTTTTCTCTTTTCCAAGTCAAAGAAAGCCACATCAAACGTGCAAGAATGTTACTTCTGGGTACCAAACGTTCATAAGAACATCCGAAACAATTCAATAAATGGTGTATAACAAAAATAGCTGGTCACAGAGATTGCCTCTCCCTACTAAAGTAATGAAATAAACACTAGTTTAAACAATCCATTCCATATAGGAGAAAATCATCAGAGCCAAATTTCAGTCTCCAAGCTCCTTCATCCAATTTATAAGCACCTTAATATCACTACCACTGCCCAAGTCAAAATTACTAAGATAGAAAAGACTGCACTGAACCAAGCCCCTGAAACAGCTAGGTTATTCACACCATAACAAAAATAACACTCACTTTTTTCCAAGGCATGGATGAAAGTAAGATTCTTCCGAACCCTTCTAATGAGTTCATCAATAGACATGCAATCAATCCCACCAAAAATGAAACCAGTAGGAAAAACATTCTATACCGCAAGCCCTGAAACTGAGGTCATTGAAATGCTTAATACTCAAACATGGAGAGTTCTAGCATAGATTAAATCTACTCTGTTTTCACATCCCTTTAATCCTTCAAAACTTGGAACATACCAGAACACCCCTCTTCGAATCTAATACGTCAGCGGACCTAAGACCAAAGCACCACATCCACCACGCACTAAAGGCTCCACATAGTTCTTATAAACAAGCTCAAACGTCAAAAAACAAGAAACAAGGAATTGGATCTTAATCTTTACCCCAATCTTTACACCAAACTTCTATCCTGACAGAATTTTTAGAGAAAAACAATCCATTTAGCCTATAACTTCTTCATCATCATTCAAATGGTGATTAAAAATGATCACAAACTTAAACAAAACTAAATCAGATTCAATGAAATCAGGAGAAACAAACATCATTGGCACAGAATCCAAAAACCCCGGATCTAAAAACGAGATAAAAGGGACAGCTTTATACAAGGAGAGAATTAGAAAGAAAAGGGAAGAGTAGAATCTTACCGGGTTTCTGAGGATTTCCATCGACAAACTTGGTAACAGCAAAATGAACCTTTTCCCTGGAAAGAGCTTCAGTCTTGTATGGTTCTTTGAGACAGTTTCTGACAAGATTAGCACAGATGTTCGAATATGTTATGTAGGTCATGCCGGCGGCCCTCCAAAACGGCGCTGCTGCATTCGACGCCATCGCTTTTACTCTCTTCTTCTCGTCTCTTCGGTTTCCCTGTCAAGAGATGATACCATTACTTTTAGTGTTCTCTGTGCTGACCTAGTTTCTCTTGTGGGCTTAGTTTTGGCCCAAATAAACTTATCCCAAAAGCTAATTGTAAGGGTCAATTTGGCAGAATTAATATACTAAAGGGATTAAATTTATCACAAACCATTTTTAACTAGCTAGCTAAAAGCTTAGAAGCAAAACTCAACCCGGAATAATGTCCGGGTCGAAAAGATCCACTGGATCAACTTATATTTGTTTTTTTAAAATAACTATTTAAAAAAAAAATAAACAAGCGAATAACAAGTCACCCCGGTATTTTTACAGGAGCAGCCGAGTTTTTTCCATCCTTTTCTTTTCTTTTTTCTTCAGCATAGACTGGTCTTAGCCCCGGATTAAACATGTCTCAGATTAACCCGCTGGTCCGGTCCGGGTTTTACAACAGTGGCTATAAGCCCCTTCAAAAACCCACCACTCTTTCTGCTTCTCTGCGAGCAAGATGAAGGCAACAGCTTTACACAATCTCCTCTCCTCACCACCTCCAAAAATCAACCATCTCCTCCTCCCTCACCAACACCAACTGCCACATGCTAGTTTCGCAATCTCCAAGAGTCCACTGTTCTCCTTCTTTTCTTCTAGTGGTGCAATCAGAGCCGTTGAGAGAGGACGCTTGTCATCCATCTGGGATGAGAAGCCATATGAGTTACTAGAAGAAGATGTTGTCACATTTCTTGACCCACCTAAGGAGCTTATCCCTCTTGACCCTGACACTTACAATCCAGCTGCTTACCTCTGGTTAGTTTCAGTGAAAGGCTTGTCATTTACTTTATCAGCAACATGTTGCTGCAGCGCACTGACTGATGATTTGATTTTGAATTGCAGGAGTAAAATTGAAGATATACTAGAAGAAAGGCGTCTTAGATTGCTGTCTCTGATAAAACAACCTAGGTAGTGTTTCTACTTGTGTTTTTAATTTTTCAAGTTTAAGAATTTGATGTTTACTATAAAGGGTTGCAGTAAAGTTTGGATTTTTTCGCGGATTTGGTTTGAATGGGAATTAATTTATGTGTAGGCTAATATCAAGAGCTTGGGAGATAGCTGGCATGAGATATGAGGATGCTAAGTTAGCAAAGAAATGCGGGTCTGACTTGCTGTGCTGTGAAGATGGTGAATTGTCAGTTGAGTTTTATAGTTGTAGAAGTAATGGAGGTAAATTATTTGAATTGTTGGTTTTGTTATGTAGGGGTGTGTGTGTGTGGAGTGTGAAGTTTTGGTGATAATGTGATTTTGCTGTGGAATGTTGTGAACTAGGTGGTTTGGATGTTTCTTGGATGAAATCGTTCAAGATGGTGAGATCTAAAGTGCTTTTATTTTTATAATTTGTTCCCTTTTGCATGTGATGAGGTGTCTATGATTGGTGCATTTTTTTTCACTTCTCAGGTTATTTTCCGTTGCGATAATGGGGAGGTTTATGGGAGATTTATTGGTAAGTTCAGCTGCATTTTTTTCGTTGTGATACTGTATTTTACACTGTAAAGAACAAGGCTTCAATTATTTGTCTGTATTTGTTTATGTGTTTATTGGATGTGAGTTTGTAGAGGACTGGAGGGGAGGGGTAGGGATGGGAGTAAGGCAGAAAAAAATGGAAAGATGCTGTGAAAAATAGCAGAAGCAAAGTTTTCAGTATTTGAAAATTTGGTTTCCCCATCCACAGACAGATGCATATTTAACTGGCTTGCGGCGGGTGGATGTAGTTGTAGAAGAGTTGAATGAGGCTTATCTATTAAGTGATGTGCATGACAGATAATGATTTGTTGCTAAGTTGTATGAGACTTGATCAGTTGCCTCAAAAATTGATTCTTTTTTATAAAATCTGTAATGGATATTCTTAAAAAATCTGGCCTCTTAGTTTCTGACTTTAAAAGCACTCAATTGTCCCTGTGTATATTATATATATTTGATGAACTATGAAGATGGTTAGCTCAGACCTAATCTTAGTTAACTGATAACAATAATGCTTGAACAGGTGGATCAGTGCTGGCTCAAATCACAAAAACCTTTAGTCCATTGTATTTTAAGGTCGTGGAGCAGAAGGAAGTAATGTCTACAGAGCAGCCCTGTGATTTAGCATATGAATTTGGAGATGGGCACTTGGATCTCTGTAATTATCCACGACACTTTCCAATACCAGGTGGGATTTATCTAAGAATTGTACTACTGCTAAGGATCTATAGTTTCAGATGACCATTTTTCTAATTGAAATGTGAAAAAGTTGGTAGAGTTTCTCCTCATCATCGCTGTTTTGACTTCATATGGCCCTGATTTGCATTTGCATCTAACAATTTCATGCCAGCGGACACAGGACTCCGTGATAGTTATCTATAAATAATGTTACTCTCACCCTTGCAGAAATTTGATCTCATTTGTGCCAATGGAAGCAACCATAAGCTTACCTGAAAAATAAAATTTAATAGAGATGATTTATGACAAAATTATTTACAGCTCTATTTGATGATATAATGTGTATAGTTCTATTTAACATTCCCTCCTTTTCCGCATAATGTTTGGACTAGTCTTAAAGAGTTTCTTTACTTTTGCAGAAAAACACCCATACCCTTTCGATGATCAGGTTGTCATATATATTCGTCACGTTGGACCTGGGGTGCTAGTGGGGCAAGCATGGCAAGAAGGGAAGGAATTACAGCAAGTTCCTCAGAAGTTATGTGATGAGATTTTGATGGTTAAAGATTATGCACCACCAAGAGAATATCCATAAAAATTGTGTTTATTTCCTTGACTTAGTTGATCAAGAGAAGCTGATCAGATCTTGAGCCCTCAAGTAGAATCACTAGAAACTATCCATGACAAGCTTTTGAAGTGGTCATGGAAGAAGAAAAGAAGTGTAGTTTCTGTAATGCTCGTCTAGTTCTGTTACAGAATCTTGAATTTGGCTTCTGTCATCTATGAATTGTAATATCAAAGGGAGAAAGAGGAGTTTTATGTGTATGCTATGCTGTTGATAAGTAGCCTGGAGTACGGCGCCATGCAGATGCATTGCGCATACCGAATTCCAAGCTTCACTACCATATCTTTCTTTTCTTACCACGGATTCAACATTTTATTATTCTCAAATGAAAAAAAAAGAAGCAAGTTTTAATTTTTTTGAGACAAGCCATTGCTGAAATTCTTGTGTGAATCGAAAATTCAAAACAGGGAAGTGCCCATCTGTCTACTGAAACATTATTTCTTTATTTCAACTTCATGTAACGTTTGAAGAGGGAAAAGTTTAAGACAACGCAGCAAAATCTCGAGTGATGATTTTGCTGAGGTCAGGCTAATTTCTTCATGTTGTTGGAAGAGAACATGTGCAACAAGGTTATTAAATTTGAGTTGGATGGATTGATTCAGATCATATTAAAAAGGTGTTATTTTATTTTTATTTTAAAATAAAACTAGATTTAACTCGTCAATTAGATCGCTCCGAATCAATTCGAAGAGGGTGAAATCCCAGATCACGTCGAGTTTACACCTTGTGTAATGTATCGGACATAACAAGGGCATTTTGCAATTTTACAAATACTGGGGTGGTGAATGTAAAAAGAAACTATCCTTCCCATTTCTCGCTTTGAGGGCTCTTTATCAACATCATCCATGTCTTCTGTTCTGGTTTCTCAAAAGACTGTTACTCCTATAAGTCCATTGTTTGGCCATCAAGATTTGTACACAAAAATTAGTTCTTGAATTCCTAAACCCAAGTTATCCTCTCTCTCACAATTCACAAATGCATCTCCAAACCCAATCTCTCACCACCAACTTACCTCTCCCTTCTCTCTTTCTCCCAAAACCAACAACAACAAAGCCCCACCAATTCACGCCTCTAAAGCAGCAAAAACCATTTCCACAATTCTCCTTAAAATGCTCTCTTTCAACTGTATCAGCTGAGCCACCTACTCATGTTATTGGATCCTCAAATGATAAGCCCTTTCCTGCTGAAGTTTCAAGAACCAAAATGATAAGCCCTTGCCTGCTGAAGTTTCAAGAACCATCATGGAGTTATCTTCAGTTGGCACTCTTTCTACTTTGACCTCAGATGGCTGGCCTTTGAGTGTTGGTGTTAGGTTTGCTGTTGATGATGATGGCACTCCTATTTTGTGCTTGAGTGATTCTCATAGACAGTTTTCTGTTGATAGAAGGTCTAGTCTTCATGTTCAGGTAATTCAATTCAATCCATTGATTCTTCAAAATGGGAAAGGATATAATCTTTATGTATTAAACATGTTTAATTGTTGGAATTAGTTAGAGCAATCTGGAACGAGGACACCTCAGTGCACAATTCAAGGAAGCCTTGACAAGCCTGAGGACACAAAGCTTTTGAAGGTAATTTTTTTTTCTTTCATTTTTATCGGTTGCTTGTAGTGATTTTTGTTGCATAAGCACTGTGGGTTTAGCTGGTTTTAGCAGTTTGTGGTAGAACATTACACTAGAATGAAGACTTTGAAGTAAATTTGATTGCTGGTTTCGGAAAGATTGGTAAAATTTTGTCAATGGAACAATGATTGTCCGCTAATAATGGAACACAATTGACTATAAACATATGGTTTGTGGAAGTAATCGAGATTAATGGAAGTGTTTTCAGCAAGCTATATTCTTCTTGTTCTGGAATAAAAAATATGTAGTTATAAGTTGAGAATCCCTCTAGTTGAATCATTGATTAAATAGAAGTTGCAATGGGAGTATATTTAGAACCTATCCGGATCACTGCCATCTTCCCACTGCAAGTTGCGGTTATCCCGATGGAACTATTTTGGACTGGAGGGGATGCTAATCAAGCTGCTTTAGCAGCTAAGATTGAGTAGCAAAAAAGCGATCAAGTTAATAGTTTGGGCTTGATATGAGGTGGGGAGATTGATTTTTACTCAAATGGAGAACCTGGACATGATGTGTAGTGGTCCTATCCCCATGGTTGGTAATTCAATTGAATATGTTTTCATCTTTATCTGTCTGCTCCTCAATGCTGCCCAGAGCAGGATTTTTTGCACTCTGCAGAAATGGTGCTTTCTGGGTTTGGGGAAAATGGGCTTGCCAAAACAGGGACAGATTAATTTGCTACATTTCTTTCTTGGATGTTAGTACGAGTGTGGTTAAGCTCAAACATAGCAAAGTAGCTGTTAGGTTTTGATGTGTCCTAGATGCACAGTCCAGGTAACTAAATGTGTGCTGTATTGTTCATGGTACAATTGCTTAGCTCCAAAATGTTTAGGGGGGACCCACCTTCTTTCTATAAATTGAGATTCAACCATCTTTTTTTGACCTAAATTGAGCTGGAGGAACAAGGTAGTCAAGCTACCTGACCAGCTAAGATGCTGAATGCAAAATTTGATTGAATTCCTAGTTTCACCTTGATTGAGAGGGAATACTGATTGTTTCTCAAATGGAAAACCTGGACCTGATTTGTAGTCCTACCCTGGTTACTGTTGCCTAGGAGGAAGTCTGATTTTTCTCATCATCTCATCGAACTTGGCTCCAACATGCCTGGTGGCTTTTAAGGACTGGGCAAAATGGGCCACACAATAGGTAATTTGGGCTGATTAAATTGCTGCTCTTAGGTCTCCTATGGAACATAAGCATGGCTAAGCACCTCATTAAATGGAAGCTAGCAGATTTTTGTCCTTATCAACATGATGTCTACTTAACTGAAGGCGTGCTTTATTTTTCTCTGTTTATGGTTGTGCTATGATCTCTTAGTCCGTAACTTTTACTGGAATTTGCCTTTTCTTTTCAGTGGGCTCATTCATTGTGGAAAAAGAGATTTGGAGAAGAAGTTAAGGATGAACTTATTTATGTTGTGGCCATGGAGCGGGTACTTCAGATGGAAGACTTCATGGAGGTATGATGGGATTTTTCTTGCTGAATGGCTGTGTTGTTATGTAATTCTTGCCGAATACTGGTTTATTTGCTGTGTCTTCTGAAGGTAATTGCTTTTGGCTTATATAATTTTAGGAAACTATTGATCTCTTTACCTATTTCAGGATGGTGTATGGGTCTCATCATCTGATTATAAAAATGCTAGCCCTGATCCACTCCGAGACTTTGCAGAAGCATTTGCCAATGAGATCAATGACAAGAACATGGAAGATGTTAGCCGCTTTTGCAATGTATATGTTGATTTGGACTTCCAGGTTTGCTGCCAATAGAACTCTTATCATCTTCATTGCTATTGGCAGTTTATCTGCTCGGTTGCTAACTTGAGAGAAAGCAAATGTACCTTGAATTTCTTACACGCACCTGCAATTTATCCCAGGTTGCATGATATAAAACTATATATAAATAAAAGGAATAAAACCTTTGTGGGGCAAATGCATTTTGATGATACAAAAAAAATCGGTGCAAAAATCGTGCCTGCTTCATCCCTGTTCCAACGTATTGAGGTTTTACTAAGGTTTGTTTTTATTAGATTACTGGTTCTTAATTTTCAAGTGGCTTGACAGGTGTCAGAAGCGAAGATGATATGGGTTGATAGGTTAGGCTTTGACATGCGTCTTTGGTCTCAGAAAGGCACGTTTGATGTCCGAATTCCTTTCCCAAGAGAAGTGACTGATGTGAAGGGTGCCAAGTCCTCATTCAATGGTATGTCACAGCTTGCTTGGGAGGTGGAAAAAAACTATCAGACGCTGAACTTTAAGAAGGTGCAACAATTAAAGCAGATAACACACAAGGGATTGTAAGAAGTTAATTTTTCATAATTTTTGTGAGATACTATGATAGGAGGCCCTTAATGACCATTCTTTGCTGAGTTTTTCGTGTTCATACTTTTGATGGTTCAAGATTGACCCGTCCATTCAGACAAATTTGTTGAAATTACGAATTTGATTGGCAAGTGTTCATGTGCTGCATCATTTGTATTTTAGTTGTTCTAAAGCATGCTCAAATTCTTAAAGTCAAAATGCACTTGATGATCTCTGTCTGTGTGACACATGATTGTTTCTTGTTTCTTTTATCCTCTAAGATCTCTTTCTTAGACCCATCCTCTTTTGTCTATGCATAAAAGTTATGGTCCCAACCATCCATGCTCTGTACTCCTGCTATATACAGAGCCTGAACTGTTGAAAGGAATGCATTTGTTACTATCCATTGAAAAATATACGTTTCAGACTGTTACTGTTGCATGATGCAGCCATTCTCATCTAGCAACACTTCTTACAATTCAAGGTAAGAAAAATCCAGGTCCTTGTCATAGAGGAACAAACACGAAGAGACAAAGGGCACCGGCTAACTAATTGGAAACATCAATGAGAGCTTTAAAAGAACAATCCACAAGATCTTGGAATGGGTATTGAATCAACACTTGTCTCCTCAGATGTTAAAGAATAAGAACAAAAACAAAATCTAAGGAGCAACCCATTCTCAAAAACAAAAACAAAAGTCAATAAAAGAGTAACCCATTATCAGAATCTAAAGAAAAAACTAGAATTCAACTTGAAGTTTATGAGGAGCTCAACTGTACCCAATTCCCATCTCCATAACTACTATCTCTCCCTCACTCTGCTTACATTCATAATAGAACACAGTAAAAACCAGAGAGACAAAGAACTTAGATAGGCAGAAGAGAACTGCTGCAACAAACCTAAAAGCAAACTGAGCGAGGGACCAAGCTCATCATCATCATCATCATCAGTTGCTGTAACATAGAGCAGAACATAGATTGGGACAACAAGTACAGTTAAAATGAACATAAGGAGAAACCCTTGAATTTTTCTTCCTCTGATGAGTTTTTCTGATCTTTTTATTCCCTTTGTTCCGCAAGAATCATTTTCCAAAACTGAGATCACAAGTGAAAGAGTCCAACTTGCATCAAGATAAAGGTAAAAAAGGGCAGCCAGAATTGCCAAAAACCAACCCCACAGATAAACAACATAACTGTTAGGATCAAGCAGGCTGACCAATTTAATCGAGACTATAGCTAAAACAGCGTAAGTTAATGTAAAAAGAGAAACGCATAGCCAAGTGATCAATGGTTTCTTCCAGGCATAATGGATAGACGAAATCAGATCATTCAGCCCCATATTTTTACCAAGATAGCTAGAAGCTGATGCATGAATCGTTAGCATAATTCCGAAGAAGCATACGAAGAAAAAAGCAGAAAAAAAGCAAGTTCAAGTCCTACAAGAGTTCTTATATCGTTTTGACCAAGAGGAGAATTCTTCTCATAGCTATCCTCGACCTTTTCAATTAAAAAAGCCTGCTAAAAGATAGTGAAGCAGGCCAATAAGAGAGAAAGGGAAGAGTATGGTAAGCATGACTTTGAGTATGAACTTCCCATTTCTTGCTAATATTGTAATGGCTTCCCTCAAAATTCCAATCACATTCAATGGAGTTGCAACCATGGCTGGTGGTCTAGGAGATCTCAGAAGGGTAGAAAGCAATGGGAATTGAGACTACTGGTTTTGTGGCCAGGTTTCAACTGAATTCAGTTGTACAGATATGCAGTTCTATCATTCTAAACGGACACTATATAAGACAGAAAAAGTCCCCTCAGCAATATTTGCAGTGTTTTAATGTGTTATTAGCGGGTTGCCCCCATCAGTCAAGATCCGAATGCAAACATGAAATTTCGTACGGCAAGCACGAAGTTAATAATGAAATATAATACTACTTCAAAATAAAACTGTCCATGGAAGAAATAGTTGAGATTTAGTTTTCATCATAGTTTGCTAAACTCATCTTACTTGAAAATCCCAGTATCCAATACCCATTGAGTTTTAAATTAAATAAAAAATAGATATTAAACCAATAAAACCTTATTAACCAAGAGCTATCCGGTTAAATCCAGTCCAAAACGGACTACGTTAAGAAATAAAAAAAGCAATATCATTTTAATAAAAATGGTTAATCCGATTTTGATTTGATTCGGTGGCCTGCAAGTCAACTGAATAATCCCAATTACTTTAGATTATTTTTCGAATCAGATGTGGTCGCAGTAGCAAGTAGTAGCGGGTTTGACCGCCATGGTTTTGAAAGAAGCAAGGAATAGAAAGTTGACATGCTAATATCTTCATATGACGACGACGATTGCAATGCCTTATCGAACTCACCTCCCTCGGACATCACCATTTTTATATATCAGAGGGCAGCAGCATTACAGATAATCCTACCTTGATCAACGGACTATGCGAGGACATTCTTATAGAGGGAAGTTGATCTGGGGATATTTCTTCCACGTATTCATCACCACCTTTGCTTAATCAACCACTTCACTAATAACTATCTTTTGATCTATTCATATTTTAATTAATTAATAGTAAGTGCAAGACAAAAATATTTAGGTATAGAACATTTTAGTCCGGTCAACTCAGCTTTTAATTTAGTTCAGTTTAGCAAGTAAACTTGTAATACAATCAAAATCTAATTTAATTTTCTTAAAAAAGTTTTATTTTAAAATAATATTATTTTAATTTTTTAAATAAATAAAACGGATTGATTCAGGGATAGATGGAATGTTTTGCTTTAATTATAGAGTTAAAAAATTATTTGATTATTACATGAGTCAAGTCTCATTTAAAAAACTCTCTATAGAAATATTTGATTTTAGATGTTTTTTTAAAAATATATTTTTCTAAAAAATATTAAATTAATATTTTTTAATATAATTTTAATATAAAAAATTAACAAATAATTTTTTTTTTATTTACATGGGATGTCCGAGCCAGTTTACACATACCACGACTAATCCACACGGCCCACTCAATATCCTGCAAGTCCAGTGAGCAAGTAAGGCACCGCGGGAGAGACAGGCGTGCATGATGAGATTTGAATTCAAGTGTGGAGAAAGGGGATAAACCTCTCCCACCGCTACGCCAGAACCTCATTTGCACAAATAATTATTTTGATAAAACTGTAAGTTGTTTATTTTTGTGATTGCTTCTACGTGTGGTTAGAGTTTGCTCCCACGTTTTGTTGGTTAGTGTTTGCTTCCACGTTTTATACTATGCGTTTGGTTAGTGGCATCGACCAAATAACTAAGGTCCAACCTCCGATATCTTGAAGCTTCTTTTCCCAGTGGTTCTTGTGAGTGTGCAATATCCTCCTTTCTTCCTGTTAACCGTTGAAAACATAAACAGACCAAATTTAACCTCCATCTTCCTTCTCGTCAACTGCAAGCATGTCTATTAGTACAACACGCATCTTCAACCACCATCACTTTTGCACAAACTCAACTCTTTTGCAATCATTTTTAGGCCTCTCGGTTCATTTCTCCCTGTACTTGTCTTTCGTCTTGCTTGAGAAACAAGTGTTGAGAGTTTTCAGAGTGTAAAGAGAGCTCATAGTACAGGTGAAAGTCTGTTGAATTTGTAGTCTTTTTGCAGCTTAAGCTGTTTTAGTTTCTGGGTTTTGGTTGAAAGTCAAATCTTTGCTGCTGCTCTATGTTTCTGCTGTGATTTTTGATTGAGAGAGATTATTTCCAGGTCTTATGTTGGTGGAGAGTTGCTTTAGCTCAAGATAATGGCCACATAGAGGCTTTTGTTGATCCCATCACCAAGAACTCAACTTTGTAGAGCTTAGGATTTGCCTAATTTACCTGTTTTATCTAATAGTATAGTCAACGTCAGTCTTGATAATCCAATTAAGAGCTCATTAAGTAGTGGAATTTCTTTTAAATCCTTCTCAATAAAATTGACAAAAATAATTTAATATATATATAATTTTAGAAGAAAAAAAAAGGAGAAAAAGCATGCAGGGAATGGAAAAAAAACAAAAAAAAATAAAAAAACAAAAAACATGCGGGGAAATGGAAAAAAAATGCCAAAAATAAAAAATATATAAGAAAAACTGCAGTATTTTCACCATGTGTTTTAGAATATTGTTAATATATAATATATCTAAAATCTGATTAAAAAAATTAGCTTTAATAATAGACAATTATCCAACAATATTTTACATGATTGAGAATTTTGGTGTGAAGTAAATGTTTTAGTGATTATTTTAAAACTTGACTTAAATCTTGTTGTTGGGTGATTTGTATGATTTGAGTTTTTTTTTTTAAAAAAAAAAACCTTAGTGTAATCAAGTCAAAAAATCAGATTGATCTAAGAAAAATTAATTAATTTGTTTTCTTTTTATTTTTTACGATCATATTTTTTTTTATAAAATAATAAATTAAATTAATCTATATATCTCTTGACTTGTCACGAGTCAGGATTTAAAAACTATGGTATTAAATTAATCTATATATCTCTGGACTTGTCACGAGTCAGCATTTAAAAACTATGGTATTGATTTAACACTCAACAGTCAAGTATTTCGATCACCATCAATCCATCTACATTTGAGATCTTCAGCTTTGTCCCTCCTGTCAAGAAACAAGGCAGCCCTGGCATCAAATTTGCTCCCATTGGACTGACCAACATGTTCAATACTGGTGGCACAATTCAAGAAGAGTTGTCTTTTGATTCTGAAGAAGTTGAGACTTGTGTTAAAAATGGACGGAATTTCTTATCCTCCTCAAATTCATGTCCAATCAGGTGCTTGTTGAATGGGGCAGAGGCTGGTTTTGAGTTGATGGATGCATGGAGACTATTATCCATTTAATTGCTTCATGGAATCTGAAGGATACCTAGAACGTAACGTGTAAGGATCCATCAATAAATAAATTTTACATTAATGCACGTCTAACTATTCTCCAATCAAAGATTAATCATTCTTTGTATGTTGGATTAATGAGATATCAAGAGCCATGTCAGTGGTTTATTTTAATCATATAAATACAATCCTATTTACATGTACTAATTCTTCACACATTCATGGAAAAGATTAGAGGAATTGAGTTACAGATTTCAGAATTATAGCTTTGCTCAATCATGGATGGCTTCAGCACACCCCTTTACCACCTCATGCTGTGATTTTCCCATACATGGCTCAAGGGCACCCTCGAGTTGTCAAAGGAACTAGCTGGCCGTAGCCTAAAAGCAACCATCGTTACGACCCCTGCAAATGCTCCGTTCACCCTTTCCAAAACATCTACCGACCCGACAATCTCTTTGTCCATGGTCCCTATTCCAAGAGTTCAAGGATTACCAGAAGGGAGTGGAAATACTAACCATCTTCCTTCTCCGGATCTCTCTTTC